AGCGATCGAAGATTTATGTAAAGTTGACAGCTGAACACATTCTGTACTGTACAGGAGACACAGCACGAGATTGATTGACAGTGGTCTACAACCAATCAGGATGCAGAACACAAAAAAGCAAAATTGCACCCCCAAAAAATCTGCGAAACAGCAAGGGCACGAAATGTGAACCGCGTTATAGCGAGGGACCACTGTATACATGTAGACCTTCTGTTATCACACTTTCTTTTGTCCTTTTTGGACGGAAACCTGAAGTAACTCTGAACGTCTTTGTGTCAGCTTGCTCTGCTTTTCCAGACAGTCTGACTCTCCCAGCTGATTTAATTCTCGCTGCATGTTTTATTCCTGCGGTGTGAGGCAGAGTTCAGCTGGCCAACATGGAAGTGTGAATGTAACCTGTTAAATATCCCTGGATGAAAGATATTAAAGTGGCGAATCTGACTGTGTTTGTGTGTTTCTCTCTCTCTGTACAGGTCGTCATGCTGAGGACATTTTCGGGGAACTGTTTAACGAAGCCAACAGCTTCTACCTGAGGATGAGCAGCCTGCAGGAGAGGGTGGACCAGCTGGCTGTGAAAGTCACCCAGCTCGACTCCACTGTGGAGGAAGGTGTGTGTGTGAGGATGTGTGTGTGTTTGCAGCACTATAGATTATTAATTGTGTTGTTAGAGAGCACTGACTGTTTCTATGAGTGTACACGTGTTTATGTGAACTGCTATTATGACTAGCGTGGGCGTGTGTGTGTTTGTGTGGGCAGCATTTTAATGGCTGTGCTGATGATTTATTGATGAGGGGTCTCTAGGCTCTTATATTATGCCCTCTTATATTATGCCCTGGGCTCCTGGTTGTCTTTGTGGCTGTTTGAGTGTGCGTTTGAGGTCCTGTGAGTGAGTGAAGGTGTGGCTGAGTCTCACCTCAGAGTAGCCGTTAGGACTCGATTTTTGGAGCTCGAGTTAATCCTCGGCTCAGGGTTGGTCGGGATAAACGAGTCCTCGCAAAGGTAGAAGGCCATCTGCTTGGTGCGTGTCAACAAGCTGTTTCGCTTTCTTTGTATCTGTCCGCCTCACGTTTGTGTTGGAGTAAACACTCTGAGATAAGCGCATCTCTGCAAAGCTTTTAACCTGTGTGTGTGTGTGTGTGTGTGTGTGTGTGTGTGTGTGTGTCTGGCACTATGGATTATTAATTGTGTTGTTAGAGAGCACCGACTATTTCTATGAGTGTACAAGTGTTTATGTGAGCTGCTATTATGACTAATATGTGTGTGTTTGTGTGTGTTTGCTGTTTGCACAGTGTGAGTCAGGATCTTTATCTCCATCATTAAGCTTCAGTCTGTCTCTGAAGGTCAATTCTCTTAATGCAGTAATTGATAGGCCTACACACACACACACACACACACACGGGGAGTTCTGTGTGTGTGTTCTTTTTTAACATCTTTGATCTCTCTCAGACGTTTATTTATCCTCCTGCGCCTCTAACCTTTTTTGTCTCATCTTTTCTTCCTCCATCCTCTCATGTCAGCCTCTCTGTTCCTTTTGATTTGGCTCCATTTTCTCTCCTTTTTATCCTTTTCCTGCCTTTCCTGTTCTCTCCTCCTCGTCACTCTCTGAGAAGCCCTCATCCCCCTTTCTTTTCTTCTGTTTTCCTTGTTTTCTTTCCCCACCGTGTCTCCCTGCTATCCTAGACTCCTGTTCTTCCTCTAATGCCCTCTCCTCTCCTCTGGTTCCAATTTCCTGTTTCTTTGTTTCTCTTCCTCCTCCCCTCAGTCTTTCTCCACCTTACGCCTCCCTTTTCCTCTTTCCATCGCCTGTGCTCGTTCTCTTCTTCCTCCCGTTTGTCTGGATATATATTTTTCGTCTGTAGCTCTTTACGTCTCTCTCTGTCTGTGCTGATACTGCCGAGTCATTCTGCAGCACGCCGGCCTCAGACAGCGTCAGAGAGCAGCACAGACGAGGATAAAAAGGAAAAGCTCAGCAGTCTTCTGTCTTATCCTTTCCTCCCCTTATCTCGCCTCTTCCTCCTCCTGCTCGCCTCCTCACACTTTTCCACCCTCTCTCTCTCGTCTCTTTCTGTCTCTTTTTACCTCTTTCTCCTCCACACAAACCATTTCTCAGTCCTTTCTTTCCTTTGTTTCCTTTTCCACACATTCACTCAAATTTCTTTTCTGTCTCATCATGTCCCACTACTCATTTTTCCACCTCCTTTCTGATTCCTCGCTTCCTCTTCTTCATTGCTTCTTTTGTGCACCACCCTTTTTTCTTCCGTACATGAAGAAAGGAAAGGAGGAGAGAAGAGATGGAAGGAGGAAGGAAAGAAGGATTGCGAGAAGGAAGTGAGGAAGAAATGAAAGCAAAGAGAAAGCAAAGAAAGATGATCTAAGGTCAAAAATGAATGAAGGGAGGTAGGAAATAAGGAAGGATGGAAGAAAAGAGAAAAAAGGTTGAAGGAAAAAGAATGATGGATGGATGAAATGAAGGTGGACGAGAGGAAAAAAGAAAAAAGGGAGGGAAGAACAACAGTTAACAAGGAAAGAAGGAACAAGGGACAATATGATTGTTTTTCTATCGCACACACAAAGGATGGAAGGAAATATGGAAGGAAGGTAGGGAAGGAAGACAGAAAGGCAGAGGGAGCAAGGAAGGACAGGTAATATTATGACTTTTTTTGTCGTGAACATCAAGAAAGGAAAAAGGGAAACAGAAAAGAAGGAAGGAAGAAGGAAGTAAAAGTAGGGAAGGGATGAAGGAACAATGGCTAACACAAGAAGGAAGGACCCAAGGAAGGAAGGACATTTGACAAGAATAGGACGTTTTGTAGTGTACATCAAGAAAGGATGGAAGGGAGGTAGGAAGGAAGAGAAATGAAGGACAGGAAGTGGCAGAAGGAATATTATTTCTTTCTAGCGTACAGGAAGAAAGGAAGGAAAGAATATTAAAGCAGGAAGGATAAAAAAAGGAAGGAAGGAAAGCAGTAGTGAAACTGAACAGGTGGCTTATTTCATACAGCAGAGGGATCAAGCATAAGATAAATAAGGATTATTTTGAACAGAGAGTCATGCAAAGCTGCTCTAACAGGGCTGGAGCTGAAACTAACAGGTTCTTTTTAAATTAAGACGCTCTGTCTGTGCAGTGAGGATGCACAGAGAGAGCGTGCACGGAGAGAGCGTGTACAGAGAGAGCGTGCACGGAGAGAGCGTGCACGGAGAGAGCATGGACAGAGAGAGCGTGCACGGAGAGAGCATGTTCAGAGAGAGCGTGCACGGAGAGAGCATGGACAGAGAGAGCGTGCACGGAGAGAGCGTGCACGGAGAGAGCGTGCACGGAGAGAGCGTGCACGGAGAGAGCGTGCACGGAGCCTACAGGAAGCAGCACGTCCCTCCAGACAGTAAAGTGATTATAAATTGTTCACATAAATCCAAATAACTCTAAATTCAGAGGTTAGGTCAGTGCAGAGTTCCTTAATCAGTGTGTGCATTACATGAAGGTGGTTATTAATGGTGTTTTACACAGTTTATGCATGTGTATGTGCAGAGAGGGAGGTGAGTGTTAAAAAGGGCTGGAGAGGAGAACGAGGAGAAGGAGAAGAAGAGCAGAGAGAGCGAGGTCTCTTTGAAGATGTGTCTGAATGAAAGTTGCATTAGCTGCGAGTTTTGTGGATTATTCATTTGGCTGTAGGGAAGGAAGCTTAGGGAGGAATGATCAAACAGACAGGAGTGTGCTCTGACTGCACACACACACACACACACAGATCAAACGGCCAGTCGCCCTTTGGTGTCTGCAGGCAGATTTTTAAGCGAACCATAGATTTTTCAGTAATAAAATACTTAAGGCCATACAAACACAGACATGCTGCGTCAGTGCACAGAGCTAATGACAGGAGCGTGTGTGACACTGACGTGGTTTAAACTGATCGTATAGGACACTGATCACGCCCTGATCGTCTGTGTGTGTGTGTGTGTGTGTGTGTTTAGCCATCTGCTAGATCCTGGATAGCACTGCAGCAGTGATAAATCTCTCACAGGATTGGACACACATACATGTCGTATTTTACTCCGACGCTCACTCCCTGTCACGTTCTGACACTTAACACACCGCCCAGCCTCCTGTTGTTGTGCAGCCACAGTTTCCATGCGTGTGTGTGTGTGTGTGAGATGCTTGTTAAGCTGATGCAACAAGCTCCAAGTCTAATCTGACCCTGCTGTCCTATTATTTGTGCATGCGTATGTATGCGTTTGAGTTCAAACACCGTTTAAGCTGTATGTTCTGTATCAGTCGATATGCACATGATGTGCGTGTATTTGATCCGTTTATCCGTTTTATTTCTAAAATGATCGTCTATAGGTTGCAGAATCGTAGCAAACAAATACACACACATCCAAACGGTGTCTGTTTAGAGAAGCATCTGCTGATAAGTATGTACTCCAGGAATTACTTGATAATGAAGTGTTCTAATTAGACGTCTTTGCCTCGTAGCATTTCATCTCCTGCCTCTCTCAGCAGTTTCCTACATTTACCACGCCGCTTTTCAACAACTGATAAACCCATAAATCTCAACAAGGTCAGAGCTGCGTGTGTAAAGTTACCATTGAGGGTCAATAGCTGCTCTGAGTGTCTTATGGCCTCTGCTTGAGCAGCATGTGCCGTTTTATTTGTCGACGGAAAGGTCGAAACGATGAGGTTAAAGTGAAGTGCAACAGTTTGTATACTGACGGGGTTTTGGTGAAACCCTGCTGGGCTGGTGGGCGGGTGGACACCCAAGTTTGTGATTGCGGTAACTTAAGAACGAGACGACTTGCTAACATTCTGGGACGAGTTCAAATCCTGGCGAGCTTGACCTCACAATCAGAGGTCAACTTTTCTGAAAATCTGCTAAGATTTTCACATTTATACTACATGTGCATCTACCAAGAGGCTGATGGCTAGTAGTATTATTAATATTAGTATTATTATTTTCTTTGATTAGTTGCTAACGTCTTATTTCCTGCATATGTTTTAAGGCAAGAGAAACAAAATACAGATTCTTCATCCATCCATTATCTTCCACTTATCAGAGTTATAAATTAGTCAAACAAATAAAGGAAATTTGTCCAAATTTGGTGTGAATGGCCAGAGTTGTCCCAGCAGCCTGCTGATGTGTTTTGGAAAAAATTTGGAACTTTGAAATGTTCTTTTTATAAATTCTACGGCTTTTCCTGCTGACAAAGACCTCCCCCACAGCCATTTAGTTAAGTAATTGGAGATAAATTATGTGAATTTCAGGAGCGGGACCACGCCTCCAAACACGCCTCTTCCGGGTCTTGTCTATATATGACCCCCCCAGTTATACAAGCTGTTTGTTCTCGTTTTCGTGCCCCACCCTAGTTCCCCCTTTTTTCAGTTCTTTCACTTCTTCACTTCTCATTAGTACATGAGCCCAGGAGCCGACACCAGTCCCCACCGAGGCCTTCTGCAAACTGCAGCTCAATTCTTGATTAAGCCATTCGCCTTTACCTGCTAAAAACGCTGCCAAACCTAAAATGAAGACATCTGCAGAGTTCCTGTTTTTTCACTATTAAAGAAACTCTTTCTGTAATTTTACACATTTGTCATGTAGAAAAACTGAGACGTGTTGTTGAAATTTGTCTTATCTTGTATTAAGACATCTCAGGGTTTAAATGTGCTGTTAAACTTCTTTACACTTCTCAGACTTGAACATCATCATTGTGATTTTTTTTACATAAATAAATTGCACAAAACATTTTTAAGCAATAAATTGAAAAAGAAAATACTGAATGTAGCAAATACGATACAAACTAAAACTCATGTATGCAAATTAATATTTAATTAATTTTTAATTTTTTTTAAATTCTATAGTAATTTAAAAAAAAAAAATTTCTAGCAGTTGTTTCATGATTCAGGTTTTAAAGGTTTAAAATATGAAACATTCGCACAAATCTCACGTGTCCGGTGTTTCAAGGACTCCTGGAATAAGCAGACCCCCCTGGTGGCTGGTTGAAAAACATATTGGCCAATCAGAAGCTGCACACGCACTGAGAACGGCAGATGTTTGCATATTTATAGAGTCTAGACTTCATAAAAAGCAGATAATCTTTATTTAATGAAGAACTCTAGCAGACGCTGTTATTCAGCCCAGAGCATGTGACGTGTGATGTAATGGTGTAGTGGGTATGATAAATGAGAAGTGATTAGATGCATTTTATCTGTGAGCAGTGACACAAGATTGATTAACTCCACTGTAGGAAACTAAAAAAAGAGAGGAAAATTATTATTTTCTGATGATTATCTGTTTTTATTTTTCACTCGGATTGTCCGTAATTATCCTTAAACTAGATTTTAAAAAGTTTATTTTCCAGGTTGATGTTTTCTTTGGTCACTCCATCAGACTGAAGCTTGAATTAATTGGCATTAAAAATCTGCTAAACTTGTGCTAATTTTTTCTAAGAGCCCTAACAAGAGATTAGGCTCTTTTTCTCTTAATGCCACAAATCCTGGCTTTGATTCATGCGTTTAAAAAAAAATTCGAGGGTAGAGGAGAGTGATGCATATGAAGGAATTAGTGGCTGAAACCGGCTGTTTTGGGGGATTATGATGTCAAACACCAGCGTTTGTGACTCTGCCGGCTTAATCGCCATGTTGTTGTTTTTCATTCTGTTTGCTTTTCATAATTTAATGCTGTCCTCCTTCCCTGTTTCCAGTTTCTCTGCAGGACATCAACATGAGAAAGGCCTTTAAGAGCAGTACCATTCAGGACCAGCAGGTGGTGTCGAGGACCTCTGTGCCCAACCCTGTGGTGGAGATGTACCACCGCTGCGACAAACCTCCACCACTTAATATTCTCACCCCCTATAGGTCAGTCTTTTAGCCTCTCTGCCAGTATTGATAATTTACCAAGCTCCGCTGTTTTTTTTTTCTTAGTTTCACTTCCTCCTCCTCGCAGGGATGACAAGAAGGACGCCCTGAAGTTTTACACCGACCCCTCCTACTTCTTCAACCTGTGGAAGGAAAAGATGCTGCAGGCCACTGAGGACAAGCGCAAAGAGAAGAGACGGCAGAAGGTATGATGTGTGCGCCGAACGAGTGTTTGTGAGCGTGCGCTGTATGTTTGAGTGTACGTCACCGTGGGTCTGGAAACGGTTAAAGAAATTCATCTTCTGCTTTATTTTGCGAATTTTTATTTTCCTGCCCGGTGGTGCCATTTTATGCTGTTATTTCAGTTTCATTTCTCTCTGACTGTACTCTCCATTTAGCTTTGCTTGGTTGTTTAATCGGCTATCGATGCAGCAGCAGCTGAGCAGGCCGGTTATCCAGAGACAACAACGTGA